CCACAAACGCACACACACACACGCACACACAGGAGCCGCAGTGGAGAATCAGCACCGCCCCCGCAGGACCGGGGGAGAACTGCAGCCCCCTGTACGCATGCGCGGTTACACTTGCAGTTTTCTGAACGCGCCACACTTTCGTTTTTCTCCAGTTTAAACTGTTTAATTGTTAAATTGTCACACACACACACACACACACACACACACACACACACACACACACACACACACACACACACACACACAGGATCAGTCAGTATTTCTGCAGGGTTGTGCTGATATATGTGAGCGTCTCTTATATTGTGTTTATTAAATAAACACACACTCAATACTGACAGCGGTGTGTGTGTGTGTGTGTGTGTGTGTGTTTCAGCTGCTGAGGATGGCGTCTGCAGAGCTGTGTTTCCCCTGAGCTGTGGTGCGGAGTGTGTGCGCAGCTGTAAGAACACACAGGCGGCAGACGTGCCGCAGGACTGCGCAGGAGTGTGTTCATCAGTGTGTGTGTGTGTGAAGACCGAACCGGAGGACGAGGCAGAATACACACCGCAGGAGATTAAGAGTGAGGATGTGGAGGAGCGCTGCGACCCTGAGACCGCACACACACACACTGCAGACGCCGTGACACACACACACTTACCTGAGAACACACACACACACACTGCAGACGCCGTGACACACACACACACTACACATGCATTCATACTTATACACTCACCTGAGGCCGCATACACACACACTGCAAATGCCGTGACACACACTCACTTACCTAAGAACACACACACAAACTCACCTGAGAACACACACACTGCAGACAACGTGACACACACACACTCACCTGAGAACACACACATACACACTGCAGATGCCGTGACACACACACACTCTGAGTCCAGCACAGCGTCCGGCTCCCAGAACACACACGTGTGTGGTGTGTGTGGGACGGGCTTTGAGCGGGCAGACCTGCTGCTGCTGCACCTGCACACACACACCAGCGCACGTCCGTTCATCTGCGGCGTCTGCGGGAAGGGCTACGGCCACCGGGGGCAGCTGCGCACACACCGGCGGCTGCACACGGGCGAGCGTCCGTACGGCTGCAGCGTCTGCGGGAAACGCTTCAACGAGCAGAGCCAGCTGAAGGTGCACCAGCGCACACACACCGGGGAGCGGCCGTACACCTGCAGCACCTGCGGGAAGAGCTTCACCAACGGCGGGAACCTGCGCAGCCACCAGCGCACACACACCGGCGAGCGGCCGTACGGCTGCAGCAGCTGCGGGAAACGCTTCAGCGGCGCGGGAGACCTGCGCACGCACCAGCGCACACACACCGGCGAGCGGCCGTACCACTGCCAGCTCTGCAACAAGAGATTCAGCCAGGCCGGACACCTGACCATCCACCGCCGCATGCACACCGGCGAGCGGCCGTACGGCTGCAGCAGCTGCGGGAAGCGCTTCACCGTGGCCAGCAGCCTGAAGCTGCACCTGCTGACACACACGGGCGAGCGGCGGCACACCTGCAGCCACTGCAGCAAGAGCTTCAGCCGCGCCGGACACCTCAAGAGGCACGAGCTGGTGCACAGCCGACAGGAGCCGCACCGCTGCACACACTGCGACCGCATCTACAGCGACCCGTCCTCCCTGAGGAAACACCAGAGGACACACAGCGCAGCGGACGGGGGTCAGGGGTCAGCCGGGGGTCAGGGGTCAGCTCAGTGACGGACACCTTCAGTCCCGCACTCCTCATCCCTTAAGGCCACTCTTTATTCTGATGGTCCGTTTGTTGAATTTAAGTGACATTGCATCCACTTGCCAACTAGTCCTCATTAGATCATCCGTACACTGCTGGGGGGGTTAGTTGACATGGACATGTGAGTTTCGGATAGGCAAGTAAATGTTTAGCTGCAGGTAAATGTTTGGCAGACAATCTACTAATGTTCAAATGGACCATCAAAATAAAGTGTTACCTCCCCTCATCATGTGTAATTAATGAAGCCGCTGTGTGGTTTATCATCTGCATATGCCAGAGTAACTGGCGGTTCATTCCGCTGTGGCGGCCCCTGATAAATCAGGGTTTAAGCTGAAGGAAAATGAATGAATGCTGTGACGGTCACTCACTGACCTCTAGTGGACGCTCCTGAGTCTGCAGCTGCTCCACTGCTGTCGCTCCTTCATCAGCAGGGCTGTGGTGAGGCTGTGCGCACAGATGTGTGTGTGTGTGTGTGTGTGTGTGTGTTTCTGCTAATCAATAAATGTTTTAACCACAGCAGAACATACAGCAGCGTATGCTAACGACAGCGTATGCTAACCACAGCATATGCTCATGGTGTCATGTGTTTATGGCAGGTTATTTTATATAATTAATCCCTCATTTGTTGATCCGTCTGCTCTATGTCGACTCTGTTTAGATCTGAGAAGCTCCAGGAACACACAGCAGGCTGATTCTGTACTTGTTTATTTGTGTGTTAGTGTATTGATCGCTCTACAGTACACTGATGAAGCACAGCTGAATCCTGCATAAATGAAGCTGAGGGCGCAGTGGACGAGCAGATGCAGGAGTCTTCAGCACTGATCCTCTGATGAAGGGCTGTGTGTGTGTGTGTGTGTGTGTGTGTGTGTGTGTGTGCGTCAGTTCCTCCATCACAGCATCTGAAACACCCAGCAGAGTTCAGTCCCCGCCGCTCTCTTCATCCAGGACTGTAGAATCAGGCGGTTTACTGAAAAATAAATGTTAATGGTTATATAATGATCATTAATATTAAAATAAAACATCTTCATTCACAATGAGAAGCAGTGGTCTGAGACTCGGCTGCTGGAGAAGCGCAGCTCTGCACAGCTCATCCTGCTGAACAGTGTCCTGTAGTGAGCTGTGCTTGATCGGCTGGAGCAGAGCTGTGGGCCTCCAGGACCTACAGCAGGATTTAAGGCATGCGTCTGCATCAGCAGTGTCTGACTCGGTTCTGTTCTCCAGAACTGTATAACTTTGCTCAGGGAAAATCATTTGAAAGCTAAGCTGGAACAGTCACCGTCTGTCTGTGTGTGTGTGTGTGTGTGTGTGTGCTGATGGAGGAGCAAACGCACTAATATAAACACACTACGTATAAATAAATGCAAATAACGAAAGATAAACAAGGGAACACACGGGCTAATGAAGGCGGTTCATTCCGCTGTGGAGACCCCAGATAAACAACAGTGTGAACTGAAGGAAATGAGGGAATGAGCTAATAACACGGGTATGTTGTATTTTAATTTACACTAGTTTCCTTTAGAGATGTGTAAGCTCAGTGTTTCAGAGTCGTCTCCTGGATTTATTTCAGCAGTGGCTAAAGGCTGAGGAGTGAGGTCATCAGGGTGTATAGTCCACCTGCTCCGCTGATGAGCAAGTTTTGGACACTGATCGGCGTTTGTGAGGTAAATGTGAGTTTTCAGGAGTTTAACTGAGTTTAATTGACGTCCTTCATCTCTATAATGGTTATACGAGACACGACTCGTTTCAGGAAGCTGTGTGGTTTGTTCTCCTGCAACATTCACTCTCCTGTGTTCAGCTTTCTGCTGTAGACCACGTCAGTGTGGTCCTGTCATCAGCCCATGAACATTTCCTGCTTGATATTGAACTATTTCATAACTGTAACCAGAGCAAATCAATCATGAGCTCATATTAAAACAGCTGTTCTGACATTAGTTACCTGTATGTGGACATTATTGCAGTCTCAGAAGCTGCAGAAACTACACATGTAAACAGGAAGTGCATTGGGATCATTGTTTTTGTTTACATCTCTCAAATGGTCTACAGCAGTGGTTCTCAAACTGTGGTACGTGTACGCGGAGGAATGAAATATGTCCTGTACATGCTACACACATTTAAAAATGTATCAAAAATTATGTAAATAATATGCCATATATGACATGTAGCCTATATTTCTGAGGTAATTTGCCACATTTTTTTTAACTGTGCAGAGTTGTAGCTGCTTTACTGGGCCGAACACGCTATTGTATTTCAATACTGCTCATTTGATGGTACTAGGAGAGGCAATTTTCTTCTGAGGTGGAACTTGATGAAAAAAGTTTGAGAACCACTGGTCTACAGTAACCCTCCTGACTCCGCCTCCCTCATCCGTCTGGGAATTTGATTGGCTAGTAATTTTGATTCTTCTTATACTCTGATGTGATTGGCTAACGCTGATGCGGCTTCTGCTGTGCAGCAATGAAGGATTTCAGCAACAGTGGAATACAGACAGCAGCAGCTTCATCAGGACTCACACACAATGACTGAGAGGAGGGATGGAGTCAGGATCCTCCAGGAATATTCACACACACTAGACTGTGGAGCTGAAGGGTTTCCTGAGGAACAGCTGCAGTGTGATGAAGGATGAAGGAGAGGATCCGCTCTGGGACCCTCAGGTAAAGCAGCGTCCAGAAGCTCAGATTGAGTCCTCCAGTGCATAGAAGCTTATCAGCGGGTCTTCACACACACACACACACACACACACACAGACACACACACACACACACACACACACACACACACACACACACACACACACACACACACACACACACACACACACACACACACTGCTGCAACTGCACAGCTTCTGCTGCATGTGGTGGAGCGCCACACCAAAACTCATCCCGCCACGGCTACATCACAGCTTCTCACTCTAAACAGTCAGTCGTTCATTAATAGCCCACCGAAACGTATTAAAAGGTTAGGGAATGATAACAGCGCAAACTTTCCTGTAATCATAGAAGTGCTGTGCCGTATTTGTTTAACCCTTTAAGATAACGTGCTGACTGTTTTCCTAACCATACACCTGAAGCACAAGCACACTGCATCAGACTGTGTGTGTGTGTGTGTGTGTGTGTGTGTGTGTGTGTGTGTGTGTGTGTGTGTTTGTGTCTGTATATGTGTGTGTGTGTGTGTGTGTGTGTATTTCCAGCTGAAGCACAAGCACATTGCATCATACTGTGTGTGTGTGTTTGTGTCTGTGTGTGTGTGTTTGTGTCTGTATATGTGTGTATTTCCAGCTGAAGCACAAGCACACTGCATCAGACTGTGTGTGTGTGTGTGTCTGTGTGTGTGTGTTTGTGTCTGTATATGTGTGTGTGTGTGTGTGTGTGTATTTCCAGCTGAAGCACAAGCACACAGCATCAGGCTGTTCATTACCTGTTCAGTGCAGGTCTACGCTGCGGCTGACGGTGTTCAGTGGCTCCTCCGCACGGCTGCGTCTCCTCCAGCAGGGCGGCGCTCTGGGCTCCCTCCACAGGTACAGCGCCGGCTGTATGCTGCTGCTGATGTCCATGAAGCCGAAGGCGATGTAGTGCACACAGCAGTGGAAGACCAGCGGGGGGAAGTACTCCTGGAAGGGGAAGAGCGCCACCGGAGGGAAGTAGTTGAAGACAGTGATGACCAGGATCAGCAGCACGGTGCGGAAGGCCTTCTTCTTGACCGGGTGCCGATGGTCTCTGCCCGGGGCCGAGCGCCGCAGGGCCCACAGGATGGAGCCGTTGCAGAACAGCATGAAGGCGAACACCACCAGGATCATCACCGTGAACACCTTCTCGAAGTTTGGTATGTTTCCGGCACACTTGGCAGCGGCGTAGAGCAGCGTGATGACCCAGACGACGGCGGCGCACACGGAGCGGTGGTGGCGGTCCTGCAGCGCACTGAAGGTCACCGGGTGCAACACGGCAGCGTAGCGGTCAAGGCAGATGCAGGACAGGAAGAGCGGAGATGCATCCTTCACACCATAGAAGAAGCGCAGCACGAACCACATGTGGCTGGAGCTCCAGTACACGATGTTGACCAACTCCAGCGGCGGGATCAAGCAGAAGCCAGCGTCCAGGACCGCCAGCTGCACCATGAAGATGTTGGAGCTGGACGAGTCACGCCGGTTCCGCAGGATCAGCCACAGCACCATCAGGTTCGCCGGGACGCCCAGGAACATGTTGATGAACTGCAGCACCAGGTAGAAGAGGAGCGCGGCGGGCATCTCTGCACAGCTGTCCAGCACCGTCAGCGGCACAGGGGAGCCGTTCAGCGGCCGGTGGAGGACCAGCAGCACTGAGGAGTTCAGCGGTCCAGGCAGATCCATGGGGACCACTGTGGGGGATACACACGGGTCAGACGAGGGTTAGGCACAGGGACAAGCAGGGGTCAGACAAGGGTCAAACAAAGGTAAGACGGGTGAAGCAGGGGTCAAACAAAGGTCAGGCAGGGGTCAAGTGCAGGCACATCTGCAGAACACCTTCAGTTTGTGAGATTATTCTGCAGATGGACAGGACACCGTCACTGACCATCATCATCTACTGCAGCACACACACACACACACTGTACACACTTCTGCGATCACAGACTGACTGATCTCCTCATCTTCTCTACGCTGTACAGCAGAACACCAGCGACGGTTCTTCTATCAGGCTTGTTTAGGTTCAGAGTGTCCCATTAATGCTGATGATTATTACAGTTATTAATGCTAATCTGCACAGCATTACAGCACAGCAGCCTGCTGAAGCTCAATTACAGGACATGTTGGACCTCTGCAAACATAAACACTGAAGTAAAGTTATCATCTGTACATTCTCACAGTCAACATCAGCCCAGTCCAGTAGAGCAGGTCATCAGCCTAACCCTAACCCTCCATCAGAGTCTCTGTAAAGCGGAGACAGTAATGTTCTCTTACCTGTCGACGGTCCTGCAGGTGAAGCTCTGAGCCACGGCGGCTCATTTAAAGCCACGACTCCGTCACTCCCATTATTTTAAACCTCCAGAGCCGCAGCCAATCAGAGCCCAGCATTCTGGAGACTGAAGCTCGTATGCAAATGTGTCTGAATATAGATTTCTGAAGAAGCGGTTGCATGTGTGTGTGTGTGTGTGTGTGTGTGTGTGTGTGTTTCTGGATAAGGACAGTAATGAACATGGTTGGCTCAGGATGGCGGGTTCGGGCAGGAAGTGCTCGTCCTTCACAGCGATTGGCAGTGATGCAACTCGCCATCGGATCTGACGGAAATCTGGTGGTAAACAACTGATGCAACCGTACATCAGTCACTTCTGAAACAGTGTAACACACCGGCCTTTATTACGTGAAGCTGGCACGGAGGTTTGATCGCCCAGCGGTGGATTATTTCACTGTGTATGTTGTGTGTGTGTGTGTGTGTGGGTGTGAGACAGAAGCATCTTCAGATCCTCACTGAATGAACACGATTAAAGCACATGTACAGCTGAACCGTCGTCTGAAAATCATCGTCCATCTGCTGGAAAAGCGCAGAGCAGAGAGGAAACGGCAGGAGCGTCTGCAGGGCCGACAGTTACTGCTCTTCATCTGCTCATCAATATACAGAGAATAACACACTTATCTGGCACGACATGAAAATCACCGGGACACTCCGGTACTGTTAGCAGCAAGTGTGGCGTGAAGAGCAAACAGGACGGGATGATGACGCTCGAGCGGGAGTGAAGCAGTCCTGTATTAAACTGAAGCAGAACACACAGAACTCAACACAGAACAGAACACACAAACACACAACAGAACTGAACACACACAACAGAACACACAAACACACAACAGAACTGAACACACAACAGAACACACAAACACACAACAGAACTGAACACACACAACAGAACTGAACACACAACAGAACTGAACACACAAACACACAACAGAACACACAAACACACAACAGAACTGAACACACAACAGAACTGAACACACAACAGAACTGAACACACAAACACACAACAGAACACACAAACACACAACAGAACACACAAACACACAACAGAACTGAACACACAACAGAACACACAAACACAGAACAGAACACACACACAGAACTGAACACACAACAGAACACACAAACACACAACAGAACTGAACACACACACAACAGAACTGAACACACAACAGAACTGAACACACAACAGAACACACAAACAGAACTGAACACACAAACACACAACAGAACTGAACACACACAACAGAACACACAAACACACAACAGAACTGAACACACAACAGAACACACAAACACACAACCAGAACTGAACACACACAACAGAACACACAAACACACAACAGAACACACACACACACAACACACAAACACACAACAGAACACACAAACACACAACAGAACACACAAACACACAACAGAACTGAACACACAACAGAACACACACACAGAACTGAACACACAACATAACACACACACACAGAACTGAACACACAACAGAACACACAAACAGAACTGAACACACAACAGAACACACAAACACACAACAGAACTGAACACACAACAGAACTGAACACACAACAGAACTGAACACACAAACACACAACAGAACTGAACACACACAACAGAACACACAAACACACAACAGAAGTGAACACACAACAGAACACACAAACACACAACAGAACTGAACACACACAACAGAACTGAACACACAACAGAACTGAACACACAAACACACAACAGAACTGAACACACACAACAGAACACACAAACACACAACAGAACTGAACACACACACAACAGAACTGAACACACAACAGAACTGAACACACAACAGAACACACAAACAGAACTGAACACACAAACACAGAACAGAACTGAACACACACAACAGAACACACAAACACACAACAGAACTG